AGACAAAGGATTTTTGGGTAAGTACATAATCCGAAGTATTTTTATATCAGTTCTTAGTTGTATAATAGCTACTTATCTTTCACTAATCACATTCTTGTTTTGATTTTCAGTTTGACTGAAATATGTTATTGGAATTAGCTTCAAGTTAGATAACGAGCCATTCAAGGTTGTTACTGTTTTTTTTCAGCAATTCGTTTTACCATATTATTTCCTCATACTTATTCTTATTAACTGCTACTACAATATTTAAGGATAATGTATGAATTTTTAAGGATTGGATATTTGATTGAGCACTCCTAACTATGTGATCTCTATGTTTCCAACAGATTGACAAATGATCATGCAACAAGATTGTCATGTCACGGCAACTAAGTATAATGAAAATGAAAGAGAAAATAAGGATGAAGTTCTCTTTGTAAAGCTACTACATAAACATTTTCTGTAATTTAAATTTCATGTTTGGATGATTTAACTTAATTGTGAATTTTAATACAGTGTATAAAAATTCAGAGTTCAGTACTTCTGTGTATTTGATTTTATTAGAATTGTTTATAATTACAGATTAATTAACCGTTAAACAAATGAAATAAACAGGAAAAAAATCATCAAATAAAATATTTGCGACTTTTTATTGTTTTTCGTCGTAAATATACAGACATAAGTTGCGACGTTTTATTTCAGTCGCAAATTGAGGACGAAGTTTGCGACGATATTGAAAGTGTCGTCGCCATATATATGTTAACGAAAAAATTAAATTTTTGCGACGATTCTACTAAAACGTCGCAAACAGTGCGACGTTTTATATTGTTCGTCGCATAAATTGCGACGGCCACTTTTGTGACGGTTTTTTCCGTCCGAAAAGTCGCAAACGTTTCGTCGCAAATTTTTATTTTCCGTCGCAAATGAGCTTGTTTCGTCGCAAATTTCCGTCGCCTGAAATGCATTTTGGCCTAGTGAGCGGCCTGGTGGAACACCAGGCCGTGACTGTGGCTAAAATGTTTGAACTCCATTTTTGATGAATTGATTTTTTTTTTTTTGTTTGCCTCAATATAAAGTGTGATGAATATGAGGGATTGGAGAAAGTAGTGTATATATAGATGTTGTGGGACTTGGTCAACGAGGTTAAGCAAGTTGAAGTTTGAATAATATATGTGTGTGTGTGTATGTGTGTTGCCAGCTAGGTGAGATTATTGGCTAAGTGGGAGAGTTGAATTTGTCAAATCTCTATTATGATCATGACGTGCAATTGGTGTGAGTTGACTTGCATTTATTAAGTATCTCTTGATTCCAATATTTAATTTTGTGTATTTTTTTTTTCTTGAACAAAATGCGAAATTTCTCAACCCGGGGTCGCTTCCTTTGGCCCGACAAGTATTTGATGGATGAATGTAAAAAATCTGGTGTCCACAAGGGACCGTAAATTTACCTATACTCAGACACACACTCTTGTGTATGTTTACTTAGTGAATAGTTATTTAATCAAATCTACGGCTCAAATATGCCCGGTCTAAATAACCCGATGTTGCATTTAATTTCCTGCTATGCATCTATTAAATTTCTATTAAATCTAATAACTTGAATAAATAGTCAACGCACCCTTGGGTATCATAGAGTAATGTGCATAATTGATTAGTCAAAATGGCAGCAAAACAAAATAAAAGCAAATAATAACAATATTATTATTATTATTATTATTATTATTATTATTATTATTATTATTATTATTATTATTATTATTATTATTATTATTATTATTATTATTATTATTATTATTATTTTAATAAATAACTAAAATATTCTTCAGGATATTTTGTATAAAGACTTATCCTCTAGTTCCATTGTACCACAAAACCCTGTAATCGTACTATGCTTTTGACTATATAATATATATGTAGGGTAAATTACAAACACCCCTGAGGTATGGTCAAATTACAAAAACCCCCCTCTTGTTTGGATAATTATATCTACCCCTCAACTATGATTTTTTCTTACACCTCCACCCTTATGGTGCCAAATTCAGCATAATCATCTAGATTCCGTGAAATGTGCTCTAGTTTGTACTCATTTTGTGTAAAGTGACACGTGTACATGTACATCTAAATTTGAAGAGCCAATTGTAAGGTGACACGTGTACATGTACTCAAACTACCAAAAAAATAGTTTTACATTAAGCCCAAAAATTCATAAATGGACTTAAATTCCCACCTCCAAAAAAATGAAATAGGAAGAGCCCAAAGCCCATATACCAAGAATATTTGGAAAAGCATATTGGACTAAAACTTTCATATGAGGTAACAAAAGATAAATATTGGAAATAATAAGGGTAAAATGGCAATATATGAAATTAATTTATTACCAAAATTCAACCGACATATAATTTGTAAACGAAATGAGGGAAACAAAATTGAGGCATTTTGCAGATCATGAAAACGACGTCGTATAAGGAACTGGTTTGCAAATAATAACTCATTTACTTTGCCCTAATACAACACCACAGATTCTGGAAATGCGCCAAAATTGACTCATGGTAGATGCCAGTGGTGTACCCATTCTCTCTCTCTCTCTCTCAAGAATTATCCAGATTCCGAGGCTGTATGTATTCCTCCCTCTTTCTCTCTCTAGATAATGTATCTCGATAATTAGGAACGCCATAAATCAAATCAGCCAACGGAAGGAGAGAAGGACACAAATGGAAAATCACTCTACACGAGAAAAAAATTCATCCCTCCTCCGCCCAGGTTCACAACCCTAGTATTTCAATTTTGATTTTGATTTTGATTTTGTTCCCCAAATGTTTGTATACATGCATTCGCCCAATTTTGTGTTTTTCAATTAAGGGTTTCTAAATCCCTAATTCTGCTAATTTCAAGGTTGAATCTTCATTCTCGGTTTCCGAACCCACTCTGGGTACTCAATTTTTTTTTCAAAGTTTCTAGCTTTAACTGAAGTGGGCTTTTGTAATTTTGAGATCTTGCAATCTATTTTTTTTATCCAATGGGTGATGATAATTCGATGGATGATGATAATTTGATGGATGTGAACCTAATGGATCTTGATTTGAACCAAGAACCCACCGACCAACCTTTGCGTAGGGTCGAAAGATACGGGTCGTTATTGAACGAGTTGGAAACGGCCCACGGTAGGATAGAGGAGAGGATTCGACAGCTGGAGGCTGTCAGTGCTCGTGCAAGGCAGCGGCAGAGGTGGCGGCAATCGAGGAATTCGCCGGAAGTTAGTTATACCCCCGTTGAAACAATGGTTGATGTCGGCCAGAGTGCCGCCCCGAACGAAAATAGCAACACTTTGGCTATTGTAGAAAGAACCGCCGAGAGGGGAAAAGGTTGTAAAAGAGATAGTTCCCATTTGGTGGCGAAAGCGTTAGAGATAGATTCCGATGCTAAGAAGAAGTGTGATAAAGAGAGTGGGAGCTTTTACGATTGTAATATATGTTTGGAGATGGCGAACGAGCCTGTGTTAACTTGCTGCGGTCATTTATTCTGTTGGCCGTGTTTTTTCCAGGTGTCGAAAATCGATTCGTCGACGGCTTCGAACCCTTCTAAAGAATGCCCCGTTTGTAAGGGAGAGGTTTCGGACACAACCGTGATTCCCATTTACGGAAACGGTGGGGCCCACGAAAGCGCTGTGTGCGAAACGGAATCTGGCTTGAAGATTCCACCGAGGCCAAAAGCTCGTAGAGTCGAGAGCGTTAGGCAGCAGCGTATTGCGCAGGGCTTATCTCATGTTCCCGTCGCGGAAGCACTTAGGCGAATCAGAATTAGTATCGGCGCTACTGGCAACCGAGCGCAGCCGAATTCGGAAACTAGTGGGGGTCCACGAATAAGGATGCATCAAGTTTCGAGGGTATTATCGGAAAGTGCCGCTTCTCTCTCCTCACTCTCGTCGGCTCTGAGTAATGCGGAGAGATTGGTTGAAGATCTCGAAACGGTTATTAACAACAGGTTGTTGCAAAACGAGACGCGGGCTTTCTTAGCCGATGTCATAAATAATCCTTCTGCTAGAGCCGTGCAAACGAATAACGAGGCTCCGAATTCAACCCCTGATAGCAATGGTGGTGCCGCTGCCCCGTCTTCTTCGTCTTCTTCTGTTAGAAGAAGAAGCCTTCTTTCGAGGAATTTGGATTTGGACAGTCGAGATGCGCGTGAATCTAGAAGAAGAAGATTGAACTAGGGTTGAAGTTTGTTTTATAGTCTCTGCTGAAGTAGAGTTTGTTTTCGTGTGCGTACGTGAACTCTTGTTTGTTTTACGTTAGTAACCTTGTTTTTCCGTGTTACAAACTTACAATGCATTCTTGTTTCCAGAACAAAGGTATGCATTTTTCTCCGATTTCGTTGCTAAGAAGAACGCATCACTTTCTTCGTTTTTCGTCGTATGTTTTTACTTTTTCATGCCTGCCGCTTTGTATTGTATTAACATTTAAGATTTAAAGATCTCGTCTTCTTTTAGGTTTCGTTCCCTTATGTTCTTCCTCGGAAATCGACCATTCTTGGATAATTTTTTTATTTTTTTTAATGATGTGATTAATTCGATTTAATTGGATTTGGTCATTTGAATTCAATTCCCATATGTTAAGCTCACGACCTAATTAAGCTCGTATTCGAGAGCTTAATTATTAAATCGATTGAATTAATAGTTAAGTTCTTGAATGATAGTTGATATTCGATTCTCAAACAAGAGCTCAAGTAGCAGATTGTGTGAATTTAAACAATATCAGATGTTACTATTTATTAGAAATTTATTTATGTAATTAAAATTGAAATAATTTAAAATCCGTGTAATTTAGCTGTTTTAGGGTTGTCATTAATTTGTTTCCATATTTTGTTAGAATTTAATTAGCCCACTTCTCTTAAAAAATTTCCTTATCGCAATTAGGACTCTATTTTATCTTTCCTTATATAACTAAGTTTGTGTATGTATATATACATACCCCCACATATTTCAGAACGTCATCTTGTAAAAAACCTGTGTATTGTGTGAATACGATGGATCTTGATTCGAACCAAGAACCCACCTCCACCAACCAGCCTTCTTCGGGTCGGGTCGAAACAATCGGACCCTCGTCGAACGATTTCGACGCCGATATGTCACCTCGGATGAAGTTTCAAATTATGATCGAGGCTATTCGCGCACGCCAACGTGCGCGTGATCAGATGGGCAGAAATTCAACCGGCTATAACAACAGCGCCACCGCCACCGACCGGCCTTCTTCGGGTCGGGTCGAAACAATCGGATCCTCGTCGAACGATTTGGATGCCGATATGTCACCTCGGATGAAGTTTCAAATTAAGATCGAGGCTATTCGTGCACGCCGCCGCGAAAGGGATCAGACGCGCAGAAATCCAACCGGCGAGAGGGGAAAATCATGTGGTTGCGGTAAAAGAGACAGTTCCCATCTGGCGGCGGAACCCTCGGGAAGTGGGGCCCACGGATTTCCCGAGTGCAGTATATGTTTGGACGCGGCGCGTGATCCGGTGTTGACCTGCTGCGGCCACCTGTTCTGCTGGCCGTGTTTTTACCGGGTGCCAAAAGTTGATTCTTGGTCATCTACCAAAGAGTGCCCCGTTTGTAAGGGGGAGGTTTCTGACGACACCGTTACTCCCGTTTACGGAAACTTTGGTGGGCCCGCTGTGACGGAATATTCTTCCGGGTTGATCAGGATTCCACCTAGGCCCAAAGCCCGTAGGGTCGAGAGCGCTAGGCAACGAATGGCTGGTGGGCCCCTCGAAGGGGTATTATCGGACGCTGTTCGCGACGCAGGAAGCCGACTTGCACGCCTTGAAACAATTCTATCACAAATTCAGGCTATAAGAAGTTTGAACTGAGAAAAAAATTATTAGGGTAATATTTTGTATTAGTTAGTTTTCCAGCTTCTTACTTTACGTTACCAAAATATTATACATTTTGAACTGTTCATATTGTCGATTATATAATTTCTTAATTCTACTATAT